GATTTTCTGATTAATCTTAGTAATTGTGTTCATGTATCTTATGTGGAAATCCTTTAGCTTAACCAGCACAGCAATGGGGATGTATTTCCAGGAAGATTCATTAAGGACAAGTTTTGTAAACTAGAGTTTCAAAAAGCTCAGCACATGTGTTAACCTGGACACAGAAAGCCAGAGAACATATTAGTTTATGTGCTAGTTTGGACATTGTTATGCATACTTATGTAATGTAGATTGACAAGGTTATCTGTACAAAAAACTGTTTCTTTGGCACCTGTTAATGTCACGGCCTGACTGAAATGATGTGGAAATTCAGAGGGATAACTAAAGAGTACAGGAACTTACATGTGTAACTCTGAATAGCATCTGGCTGCTACAGTTTCGTTTTAATACTGATCTTTGTGTTACTCTTTTTTTTTTAATGCCACTGATTGTGCAGGTTTTAACCAACCAGAGGTCAGTCAGGAATTTAGAGATGCAGAGAAATTTAAAGTGGATGCAGGGAGTTTTGAATGATTTGCACTAATTGATTTTTACTTGCCATCAGCTAGCTACTTAAGCTAGGGTCAGCCCCTGGACAGAGGTGAATGAGACTTTCTTGTTCACTGATATTAATTTTTGGACTCAAGTTAAAGAGGCGGAGCCTGACTAAAAATTACTCACGATGTCAATGATCGGGAATGTAGCGGTTCTAACTACAAAGGTGGCACAATTAACTAGTAATGTGTCCAGGAAAATTATGAAAAAAGGTGAGTTTAAAGTTTTCCAGTGGTGCTGATGTGATAAGGCATGCTGCAGCGCCAACTAACTTTCTTTGAACTTAAATGAAAATCATTACTTCCCCTCGAAGCAGTTCTTTTCTCCTTGAAGAACACCTTTCCCACCTGTTCTTTTTTTGGCAAACTCGTGGGGCATATTTTTTATCCCCATTGTGTGAGAGACTCGGTTACTTCACCTTGCAGAACAGGTACATGCCTGCTTTGTAACAATTGATAAGTTCTGTACTCATGGATTCAGAATCTTCTGTTTATTCGGGTGAGTTATTGTTATATTGCTATATTTTTGTTTTGTTTTACCTAAAAAAAAGATGATTCTATTTTTGTAGATGAGCAGCTGCTTGTTTTGGTTGTGTCAGTCGTACAGGTGAACAGTTTAACCTTATGGAATATGAAGCTCCCAGTTCTCTATGCCTTTCAATATGAGCATGGTTCTAAATATCATGTATGCATGCTTTTTGGTTGTCTATTAAATCACTCAGGGGAAATTGCTTGTTACATGTATAATATAGAGGTATTTCAACTGTACCTGGAGGCCTAAATTTTTATTATTAAATGTCATACATTTTTATCTTATATATCAATTTGGCTAAATTGAGTACGTACAGATCAATTGGCAGAGCTGTAGTCAACACTTTTGAAATGTCTTAACTATGATAGTCTATAAGTTTGGTCCATCTGTGAGCTGATACCTAAAGATCAGAGAAACATGATTGGAGAATACCATGGGAAATCACCAACAACCTGCCTTTGTTCCAATGTGCAACAAGAAACATAGTATATAATATAATTTGAGACAAGGATTCTTCACTGAATTGAAGTCTTATTTTGCTGGGTGAACTTCTACAATACAATTAGATACGGCACCCTTATATTTTTTATGTCAAAAGAAGAGAAAAAAAACCCACAAAAACTTAATTTCCTGTAAATATCAAAATTGATCGCATTGTTTCTTTCTAGTGGCATTCACTTCATTATTTAATGAGCTGTTCTACGTCATTACGGGCTGTCAGTAGATGATGAGCACACAGTTAAAGTGAAGAAAATGCAATGTTTGCTTTAAATTTTACTATTTTTGAAAGTATTTTATCAGGAAAACTGATTACATACAATCAGAATATGTTTCACCAGTCATACTCCATAAAGTAAAAAGTCTTGATCATAGAGTTTCAAGTAGATGTACTATTTCTAAATCAAGTCCACCTATACAAACTTATTAACCCAGCTGCCATTACCAACTTAGTCACTTGGCCTTTGCCATTACTTACGTTAATATGCAATTATATAATGTGGAAGATTTGGGGAGCTAGATAAATGGTTCAATTATATGTTTTCCAATCAAGCAGACACTCCTCACTGGTGGTAGGAAATGATCAAGATCTATATTTGATCTTGATTTCTTACCTTCACTGGGGCATTGCACCTTTTTAATATCAGTTTCTTAGGTCAGAGATCAGGAGATCAGTGGAAGATAATTTCTGTTTATTTTACTTTTAGCACATGCAATACATATTTGTTGTGATTCATAAGTGGCCTATAATTGTTCCCTTCTCCTCTTTCAACTGAAGCACATAAATTCCTTCAGTGTTAAACATCTTTTGATTTTTTGTGATAAACACATTAATCAATAACATTGTTCATGGTTCCAAGGAAATGTGTTTACTGATATTTTAAGGATATAGTAATTGCCTACATTTCACTCTTTTCACAAGAGCAAAAAAACTTGTATCTATTGCTCTACAAATGATTTCAAATATTACATATTCGACTATTGCGTCTGTTCTTTTAGACCATTGAGACTGATGTATGCTTCAACTTATGTATGTAAGAGGCGAACCAATCAATGTCAGTGTTATCAATGTCAGTGTTGATCTTGAGAGCAAAACTTGATGGAATATATGAATATTCAATATAACTGTGTAGCAGCATTTGTTTTGCACAATAAGAAGTTGAATGCCATTCACAGTTCTTTATCTATCTGTACAGATGCAAATTCTATTGGTGTTTGTCTTTATGCAATTTTAAAGTCATCAGTAAAGGAAGTTTGTCGGATGTGATTGAGAAAATCACTTATTGAAGCTTTTCAATGTACTTCAGCATTACTCCAATATGATATGAGTGTTATTTTAATGATTATGGATGAATATATTGAAATTCTTTACATAGTGTAGTTTACCACACATACAACAAAAAAAAAGACCTGTTGTCTATGATTTTGATGAGAAACAAGAAGTGATCCACATTTTTTTCTGATTCTTTAATTCTCCACTAGGGAGCAGCACTGCCTGTTTTTCAGCCTTCGAGTTCAGATTTTGTGTAGATCAACTGCTTGGTTCTAGTTTGTAGCTTTTCTTCTACTTGACATTGAAAACATGTCACTATTTTAGTTATTCAAAAATTTGGCAAAGAGTGAAGGCCTGAATCAGGATCATTTTAGTTGGTAATGGGATCTGGAATCTTTAAAATTTTATTTACTTATTTATTTTGTTTACTGCAATATTTTGTTACATAGAACACAGATGCAAATCAACTGTTTTAGTTGATCAACTGTCATTAGTTTCTAAATGCCACAATATGACATGCGGAAGCAGGTATATGTAAAGAAAATGTATCTCTTCATTCTAATCTATTCATAGCATTCATCTATAATAAAACTAACATAGTTCATTAATATCTCATGATATTGTGAATGGACAACCAGTCTCAGCACGTAGTGTATACTTGAAGCAAACCCTTCTTGTTACATTGATTTACATTCTTTTAAGAACAATTTTGGTAGGTAAACTTAAAGAATTGATCAAGTGCATCAAATGCTAACTTTGGTGATTAGTTATTTTTGAATTATTGATGCTGAGGTTGTCTCCTTGAGCACAGCTGGGCGGTCTTATTGTAAAGTTGATGCGGCTCTCATGAAAAATGTACTTTTTCAGTCATTAGTTTAGGCAGTGTAGATTCCTAATTGGGCCTACACTAGAATATAGTATTTTAGCCTAATGCTAAAGAAAGATTGACAGAAAAAATGTTTTGTTTAAGGCATTTTTTTTGTTTAAGTGTATTGATTAAGTGTAAAAGGTATTTTCTTCACAAAACAAAAATTCCTAGAACAGTAGCCAGTGGTTTGTTTAGAATTAAAATCAAAGATTTCACTTTGTAAATATTTTTGACTTTGACTCAAGATTTTTTCTGGGATCTCCAGTGCTTCTTTTATTTTCCCTCACAAAGGTATTATAAAAGACACAAAAGGATCAATATACCATTGTTTTAAGTAAATGTCAGATTTGCTTCAAAAAACTTAATTTGTCTAATGAATAGTGTTTTGACTTTTGAAATTTGGCTCAAATAATACCTGAGATAGCTTGGCAAGAAACTGAAGAAATGATGATTTTTAGATTGATGCTTTATAGGAATAATAATAATAATAAAGCTAATCATTAATCTTTTTTTTTTTTTTTTTTTTGATAAGTGAAGTACAAGTATTAGATTGACCAGTGGTATATGTGCAAGGAAATTCATTGGCTGCTATTTATTTCTCCTTTATTAAACTAACTGTTACAAGGTCATCCTAAAGTCATGTCCCAAGACCTGTGGGGATGCAGTTTTGCAGAAGACAACTGTTAGTGTCACACCTAATAATCTGTATTACAATTCTCACTACACGAACCCATTATTATTGATCAGTGTATATGTAGTTGATTATAGTTCACCTTATGTATCTCATCCTGAAACTCTTAATTGTGGCTGAAATGTGACCGTTCCTCCTGGGTGACTGATCAGGCAAAGTTACAATGGTTTAAGTGTGACCCTTGTTTACCTCTTTAACTCTTGGACATGTGCATTATTCATAGTGCCTGGAATAAAGGTATTAGTGCGTGGACCCATGTGGGATCTGCTTGCAGGAGCAGTGCACTATGCTTTTCTATAGTTTTGCAATGCAAAGGTGTTCAAAGTTCTTTCAGCCCAGGATTTATGTTTGTTAGTGTACCAGCGTGTATCTGAATGAAGAGTTATATAATTCACTATCACTGCCCAGAGTGATTATTTACAGAGTTTATATTAAGGGTCAATATTTGTGTGGTCATTGTGGTGAAATTTCTAAACATCATTGTTGTCGGCCCAGAAGGCAGTATACTGAATGATTGAGTTTTGATCAAACTTTGCTGGAGGTTTTGGACTTGGTGATGCATTAGCTGGGTGCCTCATGCTTGCTCAGAAGCTTGCTTGTGTTGTCTGAAACCACAGCTATAGGGTTTGTAGATAGAAGAGTTTTCTGGTGCTTGAATGGAAGTCATTAAGTGAAAGATCGAAGAATACACATACTAAGGATACATGCTTTAATGCATGGCTTCAATTGAACTCTCCTAGATTAAGGGATGGTGAAGTGTCCCGACTTGCTGAATTTTCATATACTGATTTCAGCTGTGTACAGTGTGACACCAAATCCCTGGTATTTACTGAAGTTCTTCTGGTTAATTGGATTGACTTATCAGTTACTACCAACTGAAATCTCCAATCAAAGTCAACTTGGTAACCACTGATGATATATTTTTATACCAGTCTACTAGTACAGACAGGCACAGTGCTGGTAGACTGATCTTTCTGCATGAAAATGGTTAATCTGGATGAGTACTCGAGAAAACTGCTGGTTGGTTTGTGTTTTTGTGGAATTAAGTGTATTACCGGGCCAATTGCTGGCTATAGCTATTTTTGATGGACACAACTCAACAGGCATCAGCTGGACCAGGCTATCTGACTACAAGTTAACACTATGATACCAGCATCATCTACCTAAGATATCCCACTAAATGTAGCAGTTACCTGGAAAGTGGAGAAAGAACTTCAATTATATATGGCATAACCTACATTCTTTCTCTCTAGACAACTGGCATAAATGTACTGAGAGTTTTGGTCCCAGACTGTGCTAGTCAACTTCTTCACAGCTAGGATTGTGTTGCTGATTTTTTTAGAACATCGATGCAAGTGCACCAGCAGACTACAGATCAGGCAAGAAACAGATCGGAGATGACAGAGAGTCGGGTTGGGTGATGTTCAAAAAAACTCACTAAATATGTCAATTGAATGTACTTTTTACTAGCCCTCCGTTCATTCAGTGTAAAGTAAGACGGAAAGTTAGCTGATTTAGTGTTGGACGGACAGGAAAAAGTGATCTCCTCAGTCATTACTGGGCTTCTAGGGTCAGGCTCTAAATAGAAACCAGAAAACAACTTGGGAACACAACAAATCAGGAAAGATGGCGATGATTGGGAATGTGGCGAGCATGGCCTACAGATGGGGGCGTAGAATGTCGCGTCGAATGTCCCGTAGGAACCTGGTGCCAGTTGACCCCCAGAAGGAAGAAGGTAAAAAAGAAGGTGGGATCCCTTAGGCGTCATTAGATGTTGTTGCACATTAGAAACATATGTGGCAGTATGTAGCACATACTATATTAACCTTTTGACAGAGAAATGTAAATAATCTGGTGGTAGATGATGTTTAATTAATTGTTGTGAGCACCTAGTGCATCATTTGATTTTGAATCTTTCAACGTATTGATCCAATCCGTTTATGTTACATCTACTTTGCCCCTTTTTATTTGTAAAATAGTGTTTGTTTGCATGAAAAGAAAAAAAAATCAATTTGACATTTGAGCTCTTATCTTAAATTTTGATGATGTCTGAAATGAACTCTGAGGTCAAATCGCATGTTCAGATTTTACTGAATACAATGTAAATAGGAAATGTATTGACAGAACAGATTCCATGCAGATACTTCTGAATGATTAAATCATTTTATGAACATTGCCTTGTAAGCAGCTTTAAAAACATATACAGTAAGGTACTTTTAAAGATGACACCTTTGAGCTTAGAAAATGATGCCCTGGATGAGTATTGAACAGAGATGTTAAAGAGCCTAATTAAGCTACTGTTGTCATTAATTGTGAGGCAATTGAGTTAAAGTCGGCTAAAATTGCTGTACATTTATGTGAGGATACATTTGATTATTTAATTGCTGCTTTTTACGTAATGCTTGACAATCCTTAGATGTATGTTATGGATCTGTTAAGACAGGAATATATATTGTGGAACACTTTGGTAAGGCCCATACAGCTATAATGGTCAATTTATTTTGTTTTGCAACATGTCATTGCCTTTTGGGACTATGCCTTGTTAATGTATTTTTTTAATGTACAGTAAGGTATTTTGATAGAGACTTGATTAAATATGTATTATGTCATAGGTATGAGCACATTATAGAATATTGACTAATAAGTATTTTCCAGAGAGATTCAAACCTCCCATTTTATTGTAGAATGTCCTCCAGCAAGCACTTCTGTGATAGTCCTGAGTCTGCATTGCAGCCATAAAAATAAACCCATGTTTACCCTCATCGCATGCTAAGTGGTTTTTGATTGCATACAGAGATAGATGCTTACAGGAGACAAAATTTGAACCCGCATTGAAGTTATCATTATCAGGTTATACAACTGTATCAAATACAGTTGCATTACTTTCATTATAACTCAATTTTTTAAGTGTAAAACACTGAAGTTTTAGGTAGGGTAGAGGACCAAACCTATGGAGATTCACATAATGTGATGGTAATTCTTTTTAGATGAGCTATTTTCTGTTCTGTGCTCTCCTGCCAAGTTGTACAATGTATCCCTGGAGAGAAATGTGACTATTTGATCTCACCAAAGCTATATGATCTCTGCCACTACGTTGCTCAATAGAAGGGATAGTTTTTACTTAAAATTGACCCTAAGTTTCATTGATCATTACCTTGTAAAAGTGAATCACACAACTTAATTGTTTTTGTAAAAATGAATTAAAACTTTCACTTATTTCTGTGTATCAGTTTTCACTCTTTTTCTTTTTTTTTATGTGAATGTGATAATGACTTACAAAATTTAGACAGTCTCTCTATCTGCACTTGATTTAACAACATACATCTAATATCTAGTCTGCTCAAGCAAAGTTGATTATGAGAAGAAACTGATTACTAATTGATGTAATTTGTGTAGAGATAATTGCCCATGTTTTAGTCATTTTTGTGCTGTAGCACATGGTTCTGTGATCCCAGTGGATTAGTAAGGCAAGGTGCCTTGATGCAAATGAGTAAATTGGCCATTTTGTAGTAGAGAAATTGCCGGTTATGGTTTTATTGATACGAAATTATTTTTGAACCCATGGCATTGTTTATTGATGTATGGAGGTTTTATTACCCTTGATAGGCTGATGGTCTTAAGAAAGAGTGGAAAATGAAGTCAAAGGTGTGGTGAGATTTGAGGCAAATTTCACAATTTTCACCTGATGAAGTAGGTAAACCTAAGGACGGAGGCTGAGAAAGACCCACAGACAACCATGATGCTGTATTTGAATAAAATTTCTGTGTATTTCATCCTCTGACCAGCCCATGGGAGATAAGGGAATGGAAGAGCTACATATATATGAAAATGTGAAAAAAATTGTTTTCTTTCAAAATATGGTAGGGGACATTGTGAGGAAATACCAAATGTAGATAAGAATTTAAATATAATTATATAAGAATACTTCAAGGTACTACTAGAACAACATTGATGATATTGAAATGGTCTATTTTTAGCCTTATTCCCGTGATAAAAAAGAAATATTTTCATTGAAGGGACTCTTAACTCATGTTGATTGCATTTCATTAAAAGCAAGTTAAATGTCACGTAGATTGAGTATACATGTGTAAATGGCATAAGTTACATCTCCACCCTAGTAAGTGTCTATTTATATTGGCACTATTGGCTTTTATATTTGTTATCTATTATTTAAAAGGTATCTATTCTAAATCTCATGCACTCACATGATTCATTGATTAAAAACTGTAAAATACAAGGACCAGGCAGATTATCTGACAGAAGGGGATGTGAGATTGAAGTTTATTTACTTTCAAATATATATTTAAGTAAGTATATCAAGTAGAAATAAAATCAAAGTGATTTTTACATAGATTTGAAAAATATTAAGGATCACCACGTGCCAGAGACACACAAGAAAATGTACACATACAGGAGTCTGATTATATTTTTACAGATGTGGTTGCAATATGATGCTTAACACACCTGGTCACTTTATTTGTAACGTTTATAAATACCTTGAACTCCTCCAGAGACCACTTGATAAGCTATAAGGATGAGATGTATCATTAGAAGTGGCACTCTGCATGGGAGATGGATAAAAAGACAAATGCGTGGTTGTGAGTCGGTGTACAAGGTCATCTGTTAGTTGCTTTCACTTAAATTTTTTTTTAGAGGGAAAACAGAGCAAAAAAGTAGTTAAACATATAACAAAAACAGTACTATATGTACAACTAAAACCGAAAGTCCCTTGACACTAGGGGGCTGTTCACATGAAAAATCTATTTTCTAAATATCTAAAAATCTATTGTCAGTATCTTGTGATCACGGTAATTACGAGTGATGACCATATGTTTCGACCCCTGTTATTAGATAACCACAATTGCCTGTGATCCAAGCAGAGGATACATTTTCCTAAAGGTAGTGATGACAAACGGCGACAAGGTTTCTTTGAACAACTTACCTACTTGACAAAGGACCTGTACTAGTTACGAAAACTTACAAAAAGCCCCCTTTCAACAGGTGATTGCATGAATTTTTTTCTTTTTCTTTTAATTATTCGTATCACAAAGTGGATTTATACAGGCAAAATTTTATTCAAGCAAGTAGTTTCAAGTAATGAATGGGAGTAAGATACAAGTAGGTACAGAAATCCTTATTCTGTATAGGTAACACCAACTGTGCTATAATGGTAACGGTCTAACAGCTATTGATCTCTTATTATGTCTGATTATTAAAGTGACTAATGATGACCCAGGCTGTAATCAACACACAATCCAAATAATATAATCCTCCAAATGTCGCTTCCAGTTTTGCCTGTATTGTTTGCAATCCTCCCTCTTCTATTGTACAGAAAGGGTGTGGATGGTGAAGCTACGTGATCAGGCCTCGCAAGGCCTAGCTAGGCCATGGTTATGGGACTGTCAAGGGACTTTCTGTTTTAGCTGTATATAACAAAAACTATTTTTCAGAGCCAAATTCACTGCCTGTAGTTATCTTGTAGTCAACATATACATGTAGTATTCATCTATGAATAAAGAAAAACATTTTTATTAAGCATTTTTATTATGGTTGCCACTTTCTGTACATACTGCAATTGAGATGCAATTTCTTTTCCAGCAGATAACTTCCATTACATGTTTAATTTTTGCTTACCTAATTCTCTGTTTTGATATATGAGACATATACATACACATCACACCTGTTTCATTGTTTTCTATCAAAGTTTGCTGATAGGTAATGAATTATTGTGTCTGTAAGCAGGAAACTGTATTGATAAGGCCGTACATCTGCTCATTCAAAAAAGAACATTGTGCATGCAAAAGATGTTCATAGATATAATATGTCATAAATGATTAGAATGGTGTACTAGATCAGCTTTAGATTTCCACAGACAATCTCGTCAACACTGAAACTAATCCTTGTCCATTTCAAACCTCTACCCTTCACTGCACTTCACCTTACTGTACTAATGTGACCAATAAAAAAGGCTTTCTCATTCCTTATTTTGGATAAATGATGTCTATGACTGCATTCCCACAGATTTTAGATCGATCTATCCCCGTGGGGAGTCTCACTAGATTGGTGTCAGCTTAACTGGCTTAAATGTCTGTCCCGCCTACTAAAAGCTGTAAGGTGATAATTAACTATAGTGCACGTTCGGCTGACAGCAATTTAGTGTGAACCCCCAGGGAGTTAGGTCGATCCAGATGGATCGATCTAAATATGTGGGAATGCAGTCTATCGTACAGCTCAACAGCTCCTGCACTGAAAATGATCTAAACTGCAGATGAAACACTGGAATGGCTACAGTCTCAATAATATTTGATTTGCCTTCAGATAATTTTATATTTATTGGGCAATCCATCAAAATGTTTGAAGGGTGGATTATTTCTGCAAATGGTTTGCCAGGTACTAGGGTAGCATGAAATTAGATGGGATCGAAGTACAGTTCTAGAGGTGCGATTTCGAAAATATGGCTGAATACTAGTAGATAATTTCATCCCACTGTTACTAATAATGTCAAATAATCATGTATATAAAAACAACAGAAAGTCACTCCTTGGTGTCATTTACAATATGTTCTTTATAAATATATATATACATATTATACCACTGTTTGTTAGTAACATCAAACGTGTGTTTATGTGCAAAAACACCAGGAAGACACTGCTTGGTGCCATTTACAATATGCTCTTTATAAATATACATACATATACCACTGGGAACCCATTATACAGATGTTGCTTAAATAATTAAGTCATCATC